AATCAAATGATCATTTCCAATGAAAGCGTAACGAATAATTCTAGTTGGGGCGTTATGACATAAAGGTGTTCATTATGTTAATTATTTTTGAAATTTTATGCAATTTGACATAGTTCTTGATGAAGAGGCTCCAGCTATAACATGCCCGGATGCAATTAGTGACGTGGCGGATCCAAACCAATCGTATGCAGCCATGACATTAGATAATGCTGAGGCCACGGATAACATAGGCGTGACTCACTTGTACTGCAGCCAAATCGGTTCATCCCAGCTTAATATCGGATTGACAACAATAACATGTACAGCTACAGACGCTGCGAATAACCAAGCTCAGTGTACATATGACGTCACGGTTACTGGTACGCAAGAACTCATCATGCGAAATAATTGAGAGGCCTAAAGTTTGTCTCATTACCTAGGTCTATCCCTGTCTCTTATACAGGGGGGGGGGGGGGGGGGGGGGGGGGGGGGGGGGTCCAGGGAAAATTCATTGGAAGTGGTCCAGGGCGTTTCTAGAGTATACTAATATGTAAAAAAATACATTTTTTTCTTCCCTGATGAATTGTTGTTTTTTTCCCCCTTCCTTACTGGCGCCACCATTTAGGTATTTTAAAGACTTTCGTAGCAAAAAGTTTGTAAATAAAGCAACAAATAAATAGTTAGAATCTCTCTTTCATTAAAATGCATAATCAGTAAGGTTGTTTCATAATAAATACTAATGATGTTTGCATACATAATTTGCCCACTTGACGAGTTATACTGAATGCTTAGTAGGCCTATGTTCCCAAATGCGTGCGAACAAATCTCGCAAGTGATTCCGGTGGGAATCAAACCCACGACTTCCAGATAACTAGCATGGTGTCTTAACCACTAGTTGATTCTTAATTTAATGATTTAATTTTAAATGACTTTCGATCAATTGTTTGTTTATGTTATAAAGTTGGTCTAGTATATTGATGTTCATTCAATATTAATAATAATAATAATAATGTCATATTATTAAGCGCACGTATCAATCTCTTGGTAGAGCTGCTCGGGGCGCCGTTTTACACCTGCAGAGTGTACATGTAGGCTTTTTTCTTATTTAAAAAAAAATTAATTTATTTATTTATTTTATTTTAAATATGTATTTGTTTATTTTTATGTAGACCAATATTTATTTTATGACAGAACTGACATGAATTGGAAGATAGGCAAAATAAAGACGAAAATACTCTTCGGGGTCACCATCCATCACCACCCTGGCGCATTCCCGGACCTCTGCCTAGGTGGCTCAAACGAAGGAACTGGAAACACATTTGCCCTACCACAGACGACCGGGTGCTCAGGAATTGTAATCGAGACAATGGCCCCAAAAACATAAATGCCGGCCTGTGAAAAACGGGGGGGGGGGGGGAAACAGACAGTTATTGTATTTAATCAAAATGAGAAATAAAAAGAAATGAGAGACCCATTTACTCCAGATGCTGTAATAATTTTATATTTCCAGATACACAACCACCTACTATTAATTTTTGTCCTGGCACCGTGGTAGGGGCTGTCTCGGCTTCTGCTTCTACGGCTCCTGTTTCCTGGTCAAATCCAAGTTTTGTAGATAACTCTGGAGTTTCGCCATCCGTGACCAGTACACATAATAGTGGCGACACATTTCCATTAGGCGATACGACCGTGACGTTCACTGCTGTGGATAATGCTGCCCTCACAGTTCAATGTACATTCATTGTAAGAGTAGAAGGTACGTAAATCGATTTCTGTACCGTACCGTTCTTGTTCATTCATTTATTCATTCATTCATTTCTCTATCGTCTCCTTTCGGGATATGAGAGCAGCTATACAAACCAACTTAAACTAGAAAACAAATTTTATGAAGTACTTTTAAATTAAAACATTAACATTTCTTTAATAAAATAAGCTAAGAACAATTAAAGAAGGTCATTTTAAAACATTCGTCACCTATGCCTTATAATTTTCTTGATGCTACCTGTAAGTATTGGAACACAGAAATAGGTATCTTATGGTTCCCACAAAGGAATTTACACAGGTTTATTCTATCGGGCAAGTTTAGTTTTATTAAGTATCTTTCAAAATCACAATTTTGTTTAAAATGTAATTTAGACACAATATGTTTGTATTTATCTCATGTGATCTATTTTTCATTGCCATGTCATCCAGTCTTAAAAAAGACTGTTAATAATCCATGTGTTATTACAGTTGCCTTGCTTAAACCAAGATTGCTAATATGACACTCATCAAAACTAGTTTATGCTGAAGACCCCGGTTCAACCCGGACGGATAGCGTCTGGTTTAAATAGTAGGCATAGTCTGATTCTAGAATAACACTCATATTAGAATTAGGTGGGAAAATAGACATTGGTCCTTGCTTTAATCCAAAAGGAATGTTTAAGAGGGTATTTTTAAAATGTATAACACGTTACTATTATTTGACTCAGATTATATCATCGCCTCTGTCTAGTAGATACTTTATCGCCTTATATTTTTCCCAAATAAATTTACTACATATCGATCTGTATATATTTTGAAATAAAAACATGATAGTATTTATTTTTCAATATGATATCTAAAAGGCATACACAGAACATCTGACAAATTTTTCAAAACAAATGAATCTGTACTTAATTATGAAACTAAATAAGTAAAGGATATCTTGTAACTACTCTGAAACACTCAAAGGCAAGCCATTGAAACATTGTATTTAGGGCCTCTAAAATATGAAGCAAATGGCAAAATACAAGTAAAATATAATAATAGTCAATTTCACTTCTGATAAGATATTGGAGAAATACTTATGTCCCCCTTTAAATATGACTACTAATTTATATATATATATATATATATGTATATATATATGTATATATTAAATAATCAATAGCTAAAATTTGAATATAAGAAAAACAGAGAGTAAGGTAAGGCCTATGCCAATAATTTACAGGATAAATGCAAGTATTTATAATTCGTGTAGTATATTATATGTGTATCACATGAAATTAATTTTGGGGTACTTTATTATTTGGGGTACAGATAATACACCACCTGTGTTTACAAACTGTCCATCTAATATCATCGTTAACACCAGTCCTGGTGAGGCAGCTGGTTCTGCGTCATGGGATGTATTGGAGGCTACGGATAACAGTCTGGTTGCGCCAGTTATAAACGACCCCTCGCTTATTGGCGGAAACTATCCGATCGGGGACCACAATAT